TGGACTGGGGAGTCCACTGCCTTGTCTCATGACTGGTTCTGCTCGCTGGACTGGGGAGGCCACTGCCTTGTCTAATGACTGCCTCCTGGTTCTGCTGTTGCTGCTCAGCTGTCACTTCTTTGGTGTCGAAGCTGTCTTCTGTATTTTAAAAAAAAATTCACTGCATAGGGATCTCAGAATCCATAGGAAACACTCTACCCTTAGCTCTTAGTGGTACTGAGGTTCTGCCTTCCTGTTTCTAATATGACTCACTTTATATCTAGCAGGTGTCACTCATATCTAAATCACGTAATATAATCAGTAGATCATTCTAGCTTCTTACCCAGACCTGTCACATAGGAGTCATTTGGTAGGAATAAGAAAGGCTGTGGATCGAAAAGCCATATTAAATAGTTCGCTGCATTGCACAACTCTTCCTCAGTTATATTTTTAGAGGCTTCCAACTTCAGAGGTGTATATGCTGGCACTATATATGGAAATGTTCCACTGATTTTTTTGAAAATTTTTTTTCACGTGAGAGATATTCAAAGTCCCTGAATAAAATATGTACATATTTTATTTTATGCCAAGCTAGAAACAACCCAAAATGTCCAACAGGAAAATAGAAAATTCAATTTTTGTACAGTCATACAATGGTATACTACTCAGCAGTGAAAAATGAATAAGTATTATTACACAGAGAAACATGAATGCATTTCAAGACATTATGTCATCTAAATTATATCAGACCCCAATGAAGTGTGTGCTGTGTATATTCTTCTATTTGACATTGTAATAAAGCTAATCGGTGCCAAACCAATCCATAAAGATAGATTTCTGAGAAGATATTGATAGAGGCATCTGTGAGAGGACTGGTGTAAAAGACATTTGGAAACATTCTGTAGAAAATCTGGAAATGTCCTGCCTCAAACTGATTAGTGGCTACACAGATTTGTCAACAGTCATTAGTCTATATACTCACAAAGGTTTGAATTGTATTATATGTAATTATTCCTGATTTTTAAAAAAATTCAGCAGTCCTCACTAAAGGAATAACAAAACAAATTAGTAGGGTATTGTTAAGTGTGAAATGCACCTAAAACCACTATCCTAAGTGTCTGCAAATAAGGTTCAAGAAGAGGAAGTATGAAAGCAGTAGAGGGAAGGGTTTCACACTCAGTATTTGCAAGCAAATAAATTTAGTGTTAGAGTTTGACATCATATTGTGATTTCATAGTTAGCTCAAAGACAAAAAATAGCCCAACAATAAAAAGAAGGGCGTTTAGGGTAAACATTTAACAAAACTTACTAACATGAACGTTTTATTTTCCTGTTTTGTAGAGAAACTCACCATTGTGCACCACCCATGTAAGTTCTTGGAATCTACTGAAGGACTCGGGACTAAAATGAAGCACACAGTAAACCAATGTTTAATATCAACATAATATGGTTAAGGTGGTCATTATAAAACTTCATGGTTTTATATTGTATTTACATGCAAGATCCTTTGATATTTTTAAAAAACCTAAAGGCATGAAGATGACCAATACTGTTGTTGTGTGCTGTCAGTCAGTCAATTCTGACTCACAGTGACCCCTCGTGATACAGTAGAACTGGATTTTCATAGGTGTGGTCTTCATGGAAGCAAAACCTGGTGAGCCACTGGGTGGAATCAAACTACAACCTTTGGGATAACCACCAAGTGCTTACTATTGTATCATCAATGTTCCGTGTATTAACGCTAGGGATATTGTAATGTGTGCTTTGAGCTTGGGTTGGCAGGTTCTTCACAATTTACTTGTGATGATCTTCCATTAGTCATTTAAGCTTTTAGGTCTGTTTCCTCACATATAAAGTACAAATAATAATTCCTACAATGAAAAATTGTCAGAAATATTGATGATCAATGGAGGCTGATGCTTGCTAATTGGGGTGAGTAATAGAGAAATTGAAATGAAATTTGAATAATACTTGTGAAAGTCATTCACTGGAGCAGAAGGCCTGCTAGAGGCTGGTAAGTAAACTGGAAGCAGCTGCAGGGGTCCTCAAGCTTTTTAAACAGGGGGCCAGTTCACTGTCCCTCAGACCCGTTGGAGGACCAGACTATATTTTAAAAAAAAAACTATGAACAAATTCCTATGCACACTGCACATATCTTATTTTGAAGTAAAAAAACAAACGGGGAAAAATTACCTGGTGGGCCTGATAAATGTCCTCAGTAGGCCGCATGTGGCCCGCGAGGTGTAGTTTGAGGACACCTGGGCCTGTACTAAAACATTGATTGTGGCAATGGAGAAACAGTAGAACGGAGCCATGTTGCTGGCATTTTTAGAATGATGAAGGCAGCGAATGTACATATGTGCTTGACACAATGGATGGATGTATGGATTGTGATAAAAATTGTACAAGCCCCCCCCAAAATAATTTTTTTTTTAATTAGAAGTCTCATAAATGTAAGAGGAGTCATACAATCAATGAACCGGTGACTGAGAAGTAGATTGCAGATCATAATGAGTCCGTAAGTCAGAGTTGAACTGTGCTCCATAGGGACCTCCACACCTTGCCTCAGGATGGAAACCAACTTTTCAATTCATGGGCAAACACCTTCCAGGAGCTGCTAGCAGCATGGATCAAATAAGTATAGTGGTCAGATGTAAGTGGTCAGTCTTGGTAAGTGGGGAAAGAAAATCTTTAAAAGAAGAGAGCAAAAGTTAATATAAAAGGAGAGGAAGGACAACAGAAATAATCAAGTGGAGGTCATTATCCAAAGCTGTCAGAATGATCACTATTGAGTTTAAGTGACCTGGATAAATTGGAACTAGAAGTAAATTGTAACTCATCTACCCAAGTCAATCCTTAGAGGTAGAAAAATTAATAGCATATTAGCCAAGGGTCCCTTTTCAACATGTTAGTTTTATTCCTTTATAGTTTTCTGTTACCCAACACTCAAATATAGCGTTAAAATGTATTTTAATAAATGAATCCATTACATGTGTTAATAACTGAAAAGATGGTAATGTACTTTGTTTTTAGGTAATGAAGTTATTCAAAATGAAAATGTTTCATATAGCCTACCTTTCAGCAGTAAGGTAAGCAGTATTTATCTTCATTTTTTTAATATAAAGAAAGATGTTTTCTTTCAAGAAAGAATATGCAAACCTGTTATCCTACCTGTGGCTGAAACTTTCTAACAAATAAGGAAAAAAGAGATGACATGAGCCTATATGTTACAAGAGCACACAGAAACCCATGAGCCCATCAGGCTGGGGGGGGGGGGTGTTCTAAAATTGACTGTGATAAGGATTGTATCACTCTTCTTTTGAATTGCGTGATAATGTGGATTAAATGCCAATAAAACTGCTTTTTTAAAAATCCATGAGCCCTACTTTCAGAAAATTAACTATTCAGAACAAAGCAAGCAAAATGGAACTTAAAAGCAACAAGAACAAAACATCAAGACAAACACAGACCTCACTGTCATTGAGTGATCTGGACTCCTGGGGACCCCGTCAGACAAAGTAGAAGTGCCCCTTAGATTCCCAAGACATTAAATCCTCGTCTTTCTCCCAAGAAACAGCTGGTGGGTTCAAACTGCTAACCTTGAGGCTAACAACTCAATGTGTAACCCTGTATACCACTAGAATACAACTTGTGCACAACCAGAAAGTCTTAAGAAGTTGTGAACAACTACATCTATTTTAGTAATAACTCAGTGGGAAGTTTATGTGAAATAACCTAGTTATAGAAAAGAGTATATCTCCAAAATACCATTGATACAAATCTACATAACGTCACATTGAGGAGTTACCGTATATACTCGAGTATAAGCCAACCCGAATATCAGCTGAGGCACCTAATTTTACCACAAGAACTGCATTAAAAATGTGCTGAAAAACTCGGCTTATACACAAGTATATACATAATTAAAAAGACATTGCTATTAAGAGACTAATAATAACACTAATAAAGAACAGCAGCTATTGAAAACCAACATTAGTCAAGATAACTTTGATAATGACCTGACCACAAATTGTCTTTCATAAAATTAGGTTATCCCAACTATCTACGTAATACAGAAATTTGACAGTATTACCAAGGGTCATATGACAGCCATATTTCTAGGAAAATCTTTTATTAGAGTCTTTGGTGTATCCTTATAGTGGAGTAATTGTAGTTTATTAAATGTTAGTAACTTTTAAGCTAAGGTATGCTACCAGTAAGTTATAAGTAACCCTGAAAATAAGCCCTACACTTTTATGAGTTTGAAATGGAAATATCATTAGACTCATTGAACTGTAGTAGAATTATGAGATGCCACTGATCTATGAGTTTTTAAGATTTTTATCAAATATTCTTCTTACATAATCCAAAAGATACAATCATTACATTGAAAAAGTTTGTGTTTTCAATTAAAGTTTACACAGCATATTAGATTTTTATCTGCTATAAAAGTTGTTCAGTGACATTAGTTAATTTTTTACAAAATTTTGGCCTTTTTATGAACTGCATTTTGGTTTTCTCATTATGTTACTTTAGTTTTCTTCCTTTTGTCATCTCATCTTTACTTAAAATAACTGTTGACCTTTGTGTAGATTATTAGTGGACCCAGAACTCATGTATAATATCCTTTAATTTTGCTGACCACTCTGTTATTTGGCTAAAAATGGTCACATGTTAAAGTTCTGGTTCAGGGTTTAAAAACTAACTTAGGACAACGGTGCCAGAAAACCTTTAGTGTCAATTGGTCCAGTAAGTCTGGACTAGATAATAATTTAACTTCTGTTTCATGCATTTCTCCCATTCTAGCCTGGTCCATCATGTGACCTTCACCAGAATGGTTGGTAGTGGTAACGGGGCACCATCTAGTTATCCTGGTCTCAGGGCAAATTGGTCAATGGTTTGTGTGAACTGTTAGCTCTGTTGATTGGTTTTTTGCTTGAGACTGATTTTTCTTTCTCTCTTACTCCTAATGAGTAGATACCAACCGTTGATGAGGTAACTGCTCCCAAGCTTTGAGACCCCAAAAGTAATCCCAATGCTCATTCCTTTCCTTTAGATGCAGAACATAAATTTTGTGTGCCAATTAACTGAGTTGTCCCATGAGACTAAGGACTTACACACAGCATAATTTTTGAAAGCAAGTGTTGAATAACAGGAAGTGTACAAATTTATGAAAATTAGGCTGATTTCACTCAAAACATAAATAAAATTTGAATTTAAGGACTTTGATGTAGTTCAACTTAAAATGATATTTTTCTTTATGATGGAGAATCGTTTTGCCATACACCTCTACAAAGCTATTTCCCTCCTACCCCCACCCCCCATTGCTAATAAGAGAAACTATGCCTTGTGATTCTTTGTTCAGCCTTGAAATGGAGAAATGTTAATTCTGAATCTTTCTTTTATAGCTTCCTGCTCGAACTCAAGTTGAAAAGGAATCTGGATTCTTTTGCAAGAAAGAGTACTAAAACAGGTAAATATTAGTTACACACCTGTTTTAGAAAACCTAAATTAGGTTAGTAAGACAACTAAAGGAATCATTTATCTAGGAAACATCAATTTAAATATTTCATTGTTTTCTTCTGAAAGGATTAACATATGTATTTTTTCTAACTAAATGTGATGGTTCCTTAGAAAGATTTATACATAGGATCAATTTTATGCTAGATAATCAATTTCTATTGATAATCTATTATTCACGAATACATTTCCTGTGATCTTATTTTCAGGTTATTAGCATGAAACTCAAGAATCTGCAATCACTGTGCTTTCTGGGTGAAGCAAGCTTGCATCGGGCTCACCTGTGCTCTGCAGGGCAAATGTATACTGCGAAAACAGAACTGTGTCTCTAGATTTTGGAATTTGTTATTGCTGCAATTTCATTAGCATTATTCCTGTTCCAGGCAAATATATTAAAATCGAATTCCACAGAGTTCTAGTACTCCGAAAATTCTTAGACTTTAAAAAAAAACTTGCCACTTCAGCAGCTCATTTCCATTTTGAAAATCAAAGGAAAATAAAAACAGAGAAGTTAACAGCTACATAGCAAAGTGATTGACCTATTTGGAGTATTAACTTTAATAGTTTATGTCTGCCTTCCATAGAGTAGCCATGGAAATAATAATTTGATTTGTACAGATCTAGTTCATTTTATTACCTTTGACTTTAGTGTGCATCACAGATTGGTCTTTTTGATATAAATTGAAGGTTTGTGGCAACCCTGCATTGAACAAGTCAGTCCATGCCATTTTTCCAATTTCATACCTCTGTGTCATATTTTGGTAATTCTCACAATATTTAAAACGTTTTCATAATTTGACTGCACACTTAACATACTACATATAGTAATGTAAGCATAACTTTCTACATTCAACTTTATATATGTTGAATTGTCTCTTCAAGGTCAGAGATTACCTGTATATTGCTTCTTTTCTTCAAAGTCAGAAATTAGGAAGGTTGCTTATGAATAATTTATGTCTCACTGCCAATTTACAGAGGTCTACTTACAGATACCTGAATATTTTGTTCTCAATCTTTAAGTGTGAGTAACCAGAAATTAATATACTTTGTTTATACTATTATCCCTTCCTCAAAATAAAATTTTGCCCTATACCATTACTATTAACTTTAACCAAGAGCCCCCTAACTCTTGAATTTACAGCACTCTGACTTATGGGATAATTTGAATTGGTACTTGAAGTTATCAAAATAATTCTATTTTTAATATGAAGTTCCTTTTTTCTATCTAATTAACGCTTTAGGGAAACAGAGGAAGCATTTGGACTAGTGGTCTTCAACTGGAACCAATGTACCACCTTTGTCTCAGGCATTTGTCAACTTCTGCGTTTGCTTTAACTTGTCATGACTGGGGAGGAGGGACTCTTGGCACCTAGTCGGTTGAGACCAGGAGTGCTGGTAAACATACGACAATATCTAAGACAGAATTACTTGGTCCAAAATGTTAGCAGGGCAGAGCTGCCGATGCATTATAAAGTAAAACGGGGTTAACATTTTAACAAGAAGTTGTTAAAATAAAACTACAGAGTTTTCTGAAAGCAGAAATCCCTGTGCTAGCATAAATGCATACATTAATTTTGAGTATTTTGCTCAAGCCTATATGGATTCATTAAGTATTCAAGAGAACAGATTAGTCTGATACATTGTGAGAAATCAGACATCAGTGTATCCTGCCCAATGGAATTTCTAAGTTTTAGAAAATGACATTTTTCTAGTTAAATTTACCTTGATACTTGGGGCATTAGTATATTCTACTTGTACATTCAGGATTTTCTCCTCTGGGTCCTTTGACACTGAATATAATACCCAGAGCTTCAATTTAAATAACTTGGTGTTACCTGAATTTTTGTTTTATATTTCTTTTCTAAAGGGATAAATGTTTAGGACAAAGATCTGTATTGTCAGCCTGATCCAGTGGCTCCCAGCAGAATATCACAAAGCTGGTTTTAGGCCCTACCTGCAACATTTGCAGCCCTTTCTGTATCTGTACTCAGTAACCACCTGAGGTAGTCTTATTTTGTGGAGCAGACCTTTAGAGTAGGAATTACAACAACAAAGATAGCAAAGATTGTTGTTCTTAGGTGTCATCCAGTTGACTCTGGCTCATAATGACCCTATGTACAACAGAACTCAACACTGCCCATGCTTACAATTGCTGTGCTTGAGCCCATTGTTTCAGCCACTGTGCCAATCCATCTTGTCCTGGGTTTTCTTCATTTTCACTATCCCTCTACCAAGCATGATGTAGTTCTTCAGGAATTGGTCTGATCCTCATTGGAACAGATCTTTTCT